GGGACCCCGGCCCCGGCCCAGCCCAGGGGTGGCGGACCGGGGAAGGCGACTCCCATGCCGCGTCAGACCACCTCCTCCTGGGTCTGTTCGCTCGGCTTCGCACTAACCTTCCTGCGAAAAAGAGGTGGAAAAGCTTAAGAGAAAGTTGAAGCCTTAGTTGGAAAGAGCCACACAACTGCCGCTGTCTTGCTGCACAGCTCGGCTGCAGACAGCCCGTGTCCTACCGCAGGGAACAACAGCAGAGCGAGGAATCAGTAGTTGTGTGGAGTGCAGAAGCAGTCCAAAGTCTGCCAACCCCTCTGCATCCGTGTAAAAGCTTGAAATTACCTCTGACAAGGGGCCAGTAATGGTCAACGTTTTAGCCAAGCTTCCAAAAGTGGTGGTTTTCAATTAAAATATTCGTTTCTGTCATCTTCTTGCAACAACCAGCCAATCTGCATCACAGGCCAAAATGAAGCAGTGGTATCAGTCTGCATCATAATCCCGTCCTGGTAAAGGCACCGTCAGATGGTGTGGTGCTGAGCAAGGCAGCCACAGTTTCTCAATCCTCCCTGCAGTGGTTATTAAACTCTAATTGTTTTGTGCTGAATCAGGGAGTCTGTGCCCCAGCGAAACTCACTGGGTGGCTCTTGTAGAGTTCATCGATACAATTCCACCTTGGCATAGGCAGATGAGACTGATTGAAATCAACAGGAGTTTGACCTAATTCCAGGACAAACGTGAGCCCTGTGGGTCAGACTGGAGCTCTTCTGGCTGTGCCTGTTCTTAGAAACTCTCTTCCCACTGCCTTTAATCTGCAAAACAGTCTGGGACAACGCTGAGGGCACAGACCAGAGCTGCCAACAGCCCCGGCGTTTGAAGAGGACTATCAGCACAAGCAGTGCTCGAAGGAGGAAGAAGCAGGGGAGGGTGTGTGGGAGCCGTCAGACCCTCACCTCAGCAGAGCCTTGATGACTTCCAGCATCTGATAAGAGGGGTGTGTGCATGAAACAGGACCAGGCGCAGTGCTTGCAGCAGATCCCTGCCACCCTGGGCTACGATACCTCTGACCACCATACCTCTGACCCTGCAGGAGGACAATGGCAAGGTGTCGTGTGCCAACAGGAACTGCAAGCGGACCCAGGGACTCCTCCAGGCTGAGTCACACTGCCCTCCCAGGGAACGGGGCAGCAGCTGGATCCAAACACAGACAGGCGTAGGAGCAGGGTTACGCAGCCACAGGGTTGCATGACCATGAGCAAGCATTCACCAGCTGGTGCTACTAGGGTCCCAGTAGCCTCCCCAAGAGTATCTATCTCCCTCTGCATAACTTATTAACATTTCTGCAGGAATTAAGAACCACACTGAGGAGCTCACACTGTTGGAAAAGGCTTTTTTATTGCTTAGCCTTCTCCCCATCTCCAAAAGGAACTAAAAAAATACCAAATAAACTGCATCTAAACCAGTTACTATTACAGTTCTGAAGAACCTCAATACAGAACGCAGCCATACTCAGCGTGCTTCTACCCACTGAGCAGACTCTCTGGCACCTGTCACTGGCACCTTTGCATAGAGGCTAAAGCAAATTTGGTACCTGGATATCCTCATGGAAAGCTCTCACAGTAGGGCTTCGAAAGCAATGATGTCCTCAGTTTGGAGCACAGCAGCCATAGAACTGGAAGGCTTATGAGGAATTTATAGCTTCTTTCTTTACTGAGGGATCTCTCACTTGCAAAAGACAAGACAAGGATCCACAGCCAGGAAAGAGGATATCAGGCTGAAACAGAGGGGGCTGCAGTGCAGCCCTGTTGAGACTATCAGATACAGTATGCTGATATCAGTGGTCAAACTTGAATATGGCGTAATGCTGTGAGGCCAAAACACATCTCAGCACAGCAGCTACAGCATGAAGCTGGGATGCCATCTGCAATGCTCTGGAGCTGATGAAATAGTGTTCAAGGCACAGTTGCCTGCTCTCAAGTGCCTGGAAACTTTACTCCAGGTGGCTGAGTCTTATGGCTGTGCCTTTTTCAGATCAGAATCTGATCTGGTGGTTGTTGGCGTAGCTGAATGACAGAGGCTCAGGACACCACCACTGATCTGATCAGCTTATTCTGTCCCTGATTGACCTCAATGCCTCTCCAACCATTGGACTGGTGTAGCACAGTGGTTCTTAACATGTGACAGGAGGATCATCAGCAAAGCATTTTCTAGTGGTCCACAGGTCAGCCAAAGATGACAGAGAAAAGGCAGAGTAGTGGTCCACAAGACAAGAAAGGTGGAGCAAGCAGCATTTATTCCAGTCCAGAAATGCCCAGCTAAGCCACACACATTTGTTTGCTATAAATATTGCTATTATGCCTGAGCCATCTTGTTGGGTGAAATCTGTAACAGCAAATTAAGTGGTCAACTACCCAAGGTTCCAGTTATCACAGGCTCCATTTTCTGTAATATTTCATTAATCAAGAAAGCAAATCCTGAGTAAAGCTCTTCCCTTCATCCCATACCATTTCTGCAAGTGACAGCAAGTTCAGTGATTAAGATCAACCGGCAGTTTGAATTCCTTTAGCGAATAAAAGGCAATTTCTCCGTGATCCACCAGCGCAAAGACCACTGGGACGTCCCCACTCTGATACGTAACCTGCTTCAAAGCCCGAAGGGACGGAATCTGCTCATCAAAGCTGCAGAGAGAAAAACATCCCGTTGTTCTCAAAGCAAGAAGAACACAGAGACAAAGCTGTCTTGGCCAGCAATCACAACCGCTCACTTTGGTCTTAGAAGTCGGTAGTGACCCTCCCCACCCCTTTCAGTCAAAGCAGGAGGCTGCCAGCCCCGAGAATACACTGCATGCCGGGAACTGGGAGCTGTCAAATCCTCTGCCAAAAACAAGGGCAACTGCACACTGCTCCACACTGTGCCTATTAGATGCAGCTCACAGGGCTACTGGCAAATTGCCAGCCCAGTGCAATCTTAATACCTTTGTGCCAGGAAGATCTTTAGGTTGCTGGGATCAACATCTGACCTGCTTTTCCCTCCTTTTAATTCTGAAGAGTCTGTTCGCTCATGAATGAAAATATTTATAAAGCAAGGATCACCCTACTTGCTCATGACAGACCTTTGTAAAACTGCGTTACCACCTTCCTTGCTCTGGCTACTGCAGCTGCAGAGTGGAGGAGGGACAGTTTTGGTATATATAAAAAAATTAGAAAAAGCAGAGACTGAACTTTGTACCTGCATATGGAGTTTAAGCATCGGATTCTGGATCCACCAAGAAAGGGGACACCTATCCTCTGTTCGTACTGATCTTAAAGTTACATTTGACAAAGATCAAAATACTAAACCCACGGCCCTGAGCCTGTAGCAAGCTCTGGGAAGGTATATCTTTCCAGAAATTCGTAAGGATCTGCACAGGCTGAGGATTCAGCTACCATATGGCTCCCTGCAAAACTGAGGTCTCCCTAAGTTTCATGAGCATTGCACAAACACAGCCGTGGCTTCTTATTCCTCACTCCAGTAACACTCAGACATGAGCAGCAACCAGATGACCAAATACTGTGGGCTGGGCGCAAGGGCTGGGGAAACTGTCAGCCACAGCCTCCAACAAAGGAGGAACTGAAAGGAAAAAAAAAAAAAAAATGTCCTGGGCAGGACCACCCTCGAGGGAGGCGTGCTGATGATCGGTAAAGCTCACAAGATGCTGGGTCATTTACAGATCATCAGGACTTCATTTCTGCAACAGCAACTGCTACGTTTCAGAACACAGCGTAAGACCCATGGATACCTCCGAACACACATCCTGACATATGGCTTCCCAGGGTTTGTCTTCTTAAACTTGGCCACAGCATCTGCTTGATACACGTTGAAGTCTATCTTCATGCCCTCTGGGTCCTCCTGCAGCCTACAGAAGAGACAACACTTCCACATACGTATGGGAATGAAATGTTCTGGGGTATAGATACAGCAAAGAGGGAGCAAAAGCTCTTGACGCCTGGCTTGTTTGAGCCCTTTGAAAGGCTTCACTCCTCAAAGGACTGAGGCTGCAACTGTTCTAATTACTTTCCAGATCTTGCCTGTAGTTAGACCAGAGCAAGCTCCCACCCCACATCTGCCCCGCTCCCATCTCTGGGAACCCCTGTGCAAGAAGCACCACCAACAGATACAGAAGCACGGCACTGCTCTGCCCTACAGGGACTCCACACAAACTCTTTGAGGCAGGAGCAGAACCAGAAGTCCCAAAGCCAAGGTTTCATAATCACTGCAGCAGGGATGGCAGCACATTCCAGGGATGAGGCATAGGTGAAATTCAACCAAACCTCTGTGGGAAATCACCTGGCTGGGGTGCAGAGAGGCAGTGGCAGGGGAAGAGAGCAACCCCGATGTTTTAATCGGCCTGGAACGCCCTAGCTCTGTTGCTGCAGGACCTGGTACTTCACGGAAATGTCAACCCCTCACTACAGATCCAACAGGGCCATGGAGCAGAGCACTGGATTCCCTCAGCATCCTGGATGCCAAACAGCTCCCAAACTGCTGCTGCGAGCGTCTCACAGACCTCACAAGCAGGGACAGTCACAAGACACCCCCACTCCCTAACAGCTAGGAGCTGGCTGGCTGGATACTAACCGGGAGGCTCCATCCAGGATGTGGGAGGGCTGCAGCACGCTGATCTGCTGGAGGAGCGCAGCTGGAAGGAGAAAGAACAGGAAAGGATCAGACTAGCTATTTCTCTCCCAGGGCACTCCAAGCACTCCACCACCACCCACAAGCCTTCCTCCTCCGACAATGGCTGGCAGCACCACAGTCACCACTGGCTACTTCAAAGACCTCAACTTCCTCATCTCCTCCCAGCTCACAGCCCAGAACACCCTGCAACTGCTTTGCATCTTGCTGGCCCCGATTTCCCATGCCTAAAAGCCTAGCAGGAAGGACTGCAATACAGTAGGACGCAGGGAATGGATTAGAAGACCTCCCAGGGCCTTGTTTATGCTGGCACTTGAGTGGGCTATAGAAAGAGATTGAAAGGCAGAGGACAAGCTTTCTTCTCCCTCCCCGTGCCCATGCCTGGGCTCCTCTCTGCCTGCTTTGCCTAGGCCTTCTAATGAGATTCTCCTTCTCAAGGTACTGTCCCCTAAACTGATGTTCAGCTTCTCCACACCATCCCTTTTGCTGTTGCATACCAGGCAATGTTTCAGAGTTGGGGGGGAGAAGAGGGTCCCAGTCAAGTTCCCAGAGCCACTACCTGGTGAGGTAGCTTCATCTGGCCGCAAAAGCGGTGTAACAGCTTGGTCCCAGAGATGTGGCGGTCGTTTCCAAACCCTCTGCCGGCTCCTCTGTGCCAGAAGGGCTTTGTACTCCTGCCAGTTGGAGCAGTGCCTCACCTCCCGGTCAGCATTGACACTGCTCTTGTACCTGCTCTCCCTTTCTCGCTGCTCCCTTTCTTTCCGTGACAGTTTCTCCTGTTTCTGATTGATGCGTGTACACCAGCAAGCTGCATCAACCTCCCTCCCCGGCACGTTCTCCGGCAAGAGTCCATTGTCAGGTGAGGGCAGATGTGTACATGGCTGGTCTGGGGCCACGTTTGGCAAGACAATGGTGGTAAAATCCCAGCGGGGTGCACGGGTGCCAGTGCTGCTCTCCTTATGGTCTCCAGCACGGCTCCAGGAGGGGCTCAGGGAGTCCTTTTGTCCTGTATCAAGAGGAACTGGGTTTGATTCTCCCTCTCCACTGCCAGCATGTGATTCCTTTGGCTGGTCTGACAAGGGTTGTTCATCCATGGGAAGGCAGCTGGAGTCTCCACAGTCATCTCCAGCTTTTTTGGAGGTCCCTTCAGCTTCTGGAAGGTCCTCCGACACCTTATATTTCTTCTCATGCAACCTAAAGACAGAAGCAACAGCATAAAAGACAGGGAGAGTGTGGTGGAAATTTATTCCCTTTGAATCCTGCTCCCTCACTGCTAACAGGAAGAACGCAGTCTGCCAAGCCTGAAGGAAGGACAGCAAAGGTGGTAGGAACCCCCAGACAGGTCTGCAAACCCTTTACAACAACCTGTTGGCTGGAAGGAGGGCGTTTGCTTGTGTGACAAAATGAGAAGGGAAAAAAGCAAGCCAAAACCAAGCAGGGAACGCCAAAGGCAGAATAAATTTCTCAGCAGTCCTGCATGAGGCTTGACTTCCATGCCCAGGAGAATCCCAGCCTTGATTTGTACAGACCAACATTTGCAACCTGCCACACAGCCTCCACACCCCGCATAGATTGACCCAGACACCTCCACACAAACATGATGGACTTCAGCCAAACCAGCACAGGCCAGGCAGAAACTTTCTTGCTAGCACCTCTTACTGGTACGAGATTCAGCCCCTGATGCCAGAGAAGATGGAGCAATTCTTAAACCATCAGTTTCATCTCTCAGTTCCTAAAATTTCATAACTCCTCAGGCACTGATTTACTTGTTAACAGGAAAGGACTTGCAGACCAGTCTTGACCTCCCTGTTTCTTAAAGGATGATGCCACCTACTGGAAGCTGTCATAATTATGAGCAAAATCACTAGTTATGTCAGATTCTATTTGCCTTTTGGCAATGTCTAGGGGCCACGTGCAAGGACCAGGACCCAACTATGCCCTCTGCTGTACGGTCCCAGCATGGGGTGGGTAAGTGTAAGATGTGCACTGTGGTCTGTGCGTTCCCTCTACAAAAGAGCAAGAGAAGACATCTGCCAAATGTTTCTCCTGCACTGATCTCTCTACCCTTCTATTTTGGAAACTCACCACTGCGGTTGGGAGACACAGGGGCAGTTTGTCCCTATTAGCCCTGCATTAAGTACAGATGTGACAAAAGGGCACACTGCAAAGAGTTCAGGAAAAGCACTGTACTGCTAGGGGACAGCCAAAAGCAGCTGTGCCAGACAGGTCACCCACAGCACAAAGGCCTGAAGTTGCTGTTCCCAAGCCACAGAGCCTGGGAGAAAACGGAAGAATGCTTTGGGCCACATCCTTACCGGGGGCTGGAACTCCTCCTCCTTTTGCGATGGTGTTTCCCAGAGCTCTGGCAGTGACTTTCCAGGTTCAGTTGCCTCTCGTAGGGAGACAGGACAGTGCTGTAAGGAGACACCAACACAGAGGCTGACAGCAGGGCGGGGCAGTGAAACTACCCTTCTGCTCAGCCCCCAGAATACAGCAACAAAAACCTTTTCTTCCAGGCACAGAAAATCGACAAGCAGGACCAGGATGGTCCTCAGTTCATGCCCCATTTCATGTTCCCAATCATTTCCTCTAGAGGGAGGAGCAAGGAAGGGTAGAGTGCCACTTTTAGCCTTTAATCCTCCCAAGAGATGGAATGCAGGGTCAAAGTTCTCTTCTCTGCCGTTCCACTGGGGCCATGCAGTGGGCACAGAGCTGCTCAGAGTCTTCAGAAAGGAGAAAGCAGCGTGGAAAGAAAAAGCTGGTTACCTGGGGTCGAATCTCAGTACAATATAACCCAGTTGCTTCAAGTGGCTGAACACCTTAGAGCAAAGGAAAGCAAGAGGGTTAAATGACTACCCTAAAACCAAACAATTTACTTCAGTTCTGCTACAACTGGGTAAACACAGTGTGGCACTGGCAGAGGAGAAAACACCAGGGTTAAGACCCAAAGCAAAGGTGGGGAAACAGGAACTGATCATCTGGAAGAAGGTAAGTGGGAAAAACTGAGAACGCCTCCCCTTCCCTCCCTAACTGTCCTACTCTGCTCTCAGCCACTGGAAGATGTTGTGTGGCAGAGGCTGGGGTCTCTGCCTTCATCCTCCCTGCAACAGCTGGAGGTCCCAACACACCTGGTAATGGGGCAGGCTCATTGCCTCCTGGGACAGCAGGATCTCGTAGGCTTCCTGGATTGACAAGGGCAGATCTCTGTAAAACAGCTGAACAGAGCCCTGCAGGGCAAAAGCTTGGTGATGAGAGAATCAAAGGGAAAAAAATATATGCAAGCTCACACCCACCGGTCTCTTCCCACTGGTCTCAGCACCCTCCTTCACAGGATACCCATGCCTCCCCATGTGCCACCTGGATTAGTTACAGTCCCTCTCCCATGCCCAGTCCCCCGTCCTGGTTTTCACAGTCAGGTAAGAAGTTCCCACCCACAGCTGTGAGCTCCTGCTCCAGTGCTGCATCTGTTTGGAGGATGCAGCTGGGAGCACAACACTCAACTGTTAAAATAATCAGTGCTTTGGGAGATAATTTTCTTTAACTTTGATGGTCTCAGTGATTCAGGACACAACACAACTACAAAAACATTTAGGACCAGCACAGCTGAGAGCTGGAGCAGAGGACAGCATCCTCAGATGCCATCAATTGGCCGCTCCTCGGAAGCATTTACTGCAGCCCCAGTGATCCCACAGGTAGATTTCCCAGGCAGTAGCAACGAACCTCCAGGAGGCAGTTTTAGGCTAGCTTCTTTTTCCTCTTTTTTTTAAATGTGTTTACTCTTAAACAAAGAAAACAAAACACTAGGAACCACACCTCTCCCATGAGATGGGCTAAAGGCATCTAACAGGTCTTTTCTGCTTCTGGGGAGAGATTTTGTACTCTGCAACTGACTAAATTTTAGTTTCATGAATTTGTTTACAATCTACTGTTTGAAAAATTGCCAGAGGCAAAAAAAGCCCTCTCTTTGCAGTTAGGATTTAAGGCATGGCATCAGATGCCCATAATGTGATTAAGTTTTCCTAAGGGGAAAAAAGCGCCCCCCTTTAGATCGGTGCACCTATTCTACTGATAACAGGCTTCGGTGGAGAGACAAAAGAACTACTCTCTACAGCAAAGAAATCCAACTGAGCCCTAACCACCATTTCTGCAAGAAGAGGAGCACTGAATGCAACCTGGTCTCACGCCCCTGTCTGCCACTTTTAAATTTTCTTCTGCCATATATACTGGGAAGTGATGCCAAGTAGCAACCCCGAAGATCTCTGCTTAAGTGTAAAGCGTGTACAGCACTGGCTGCTATGCAACTGCCTCTCATGCAAACACCCTTCACATGGAAAGATCTGATTTAGTGCCTAAATTTGGCCCTACCAAGCTGGAAAGAGTTTCACTAATTACTATCAGCTTCCTAGAGAAGCACAGAAAAACTGTGCTAACGAACTTACGAACTCCGTCACTGCAAAATATCTAAGATACACTGGATAAGGGAGGAAGTCAACTTATGACAGAGAAGGCACTGACCAGTCTCAGATGTCCTCATTAACTGTACACCAGTTATGAGGAAAAGGATTTCTCAAGTATCAAACATTTTATTCCAATTAACTCCTGCAAGGAACAGAAGATAATGGTTTGGTCTCGTTTCCAGAAATTCACAGAACAGTGACTTTTCCTGGACTGTGGAAGTTCAGGTCCCTATACCTATAGATTTCGGTAAGGAAGTAATTGATATACAAATGTGTGTTTCATCTCCTCCAGAGCAAGAACGTAAACAGAGATCTCAACAGAAAACTTCGTAACACGCTCCTCATGCTTCTCTCATTCTGATAAGAGAGCCGATTTATTAGCTGTACTAACAGAAATTCAGATCAGCTAGAATTCTCCTAGTCGCCACTCTCAAATATGACATAGGAATGGGTTAAACACGATAACAGCAGGATAAACTGGCCACCAATCCAACTAACACGCACTGTCAATGACACAGAGGCTGCTTTGGAGTACAACATATGAATGTATGGCCTGGAGACAAACTCCATCACCAAACATGCTAAAAGAGATGATTCCTCAAGAACCAACTGTTCATCAGCTGCTCAAAGTGCAGCAGGGACCAACACAAGTCAAGCGATTTCAGACTTCAGTCTAAAGCTGCTTCAGTTCCTCCAGTCATTCAGGAAGGACCCAATGTCCCCATCCACACACAGGTATCCTACTTACACACTCCAGCAGGTATAGAGCTTCCTCGGGCAGCAGGCACTGTTTGCCATGCTCTGTGAACCCCATGGTGTGCCAGAACTTCCCCTGGAACAGAAGCACAAATCCGTGACGGGCTCTGGCTGTTCCCTGCTGACAACCAGGCTCTCTCCCATTTCAAGAAGCAAATTAAGGAATCTGCAACAGCCAGCGGGAGATGATGGCACTGAGTACACTCTGCAGCAGACTCACCGCAGGGGACTGCAGCTCTACGATGCCCTGTCCTGGCTTCCACTCAGCTTTCACCAGACTTGTCCTGAGAAGGTTAAAGATTAGTTTGTTATTACTACCGTGTCCTACTATGAACTCCTATTGTAACAACACAACAAGCTCAGGAAGGTACCAAAAGGCAGCAAACTTCCAGGTGGCATTTTTTACAGGGTAAGGCCTTAGAAAGACATCATCCTCTGGATCTGGCAGTAGCAGCTGATGATTTTATCACCAACAACTAGTTAAGAGCATCTTCAGCAGCACTGCAGACATCTGTCCATAGGCTACAGCAGCCTGCTGGAGGTGTGTGGCCATGATACATCATACAATGCTGCTGCCAAGACTCAAATCGCGGCATCCCACCCACGTGGTCTCATAGGAAAAACTTAGTAGCTGAGAAAAAGTAGAGGGCAACTTTGCAAGAATGCAAATGTGATTTTCAGCAGCTGGCTCAAGGAAACAGAAGCTAAGACCTGTAGGGTCCGCCACAGACTTGCTCTACAGCTTTAGTCAGTACCACAATTTCCCCATCTGAAAGGAAACCTAAATCCATCCCGTTGCCCTCCCATCCTGAGGGCCTCCACTGCTGCCCCAGACACACATTTATGGATGTACCTGAACAAACCCAACTGTGCCAACAGTGGAAGGTAACGGTCCGCCCTGTCTGACCTGCCTGTCTGCTGGAGGTCGCTATTCTCCCTCTGAAGCCACCAGTGGTGATTTTATGTGAATAGTGTCTGCTGCTACTGATCAGTGCCAACAGAGAAACTGTTACCAGAAAAGAGCAGGCCAAACAGGGAAAGCATGTGCCGAGAGATAAAGCATGAAAATCTCCTGAGAAATTATAAGCTCCAGAGACTGGTAGTGCTGCTGAAACCACCAAAACTGATAAACCAGGGACACCGAGATTCGGCTGCATCAGCACAAGGCCACACATGAGCATCAGCAAGGGGCTGTGGATCTGCAAAGGCTACAGGATTATGCACACACATGAGAAAACCAAGGGCCCTTTGAGGGACTTTCTGAAGACCCACACCGAAGCCACTGGAGCGCCAGTGCGACCCTCTGCTCCCGAGGGAACAGCCGGGGTG